CACGGCAGCGCGGAAAGCGTTGTGGTTAGAAATGCCGTGTAGTAATACACATATGGTCTACCCTGATCTAGGGCGACCAAGCTCCCAATTACTCCGGTATCAGCATATTTAAACCACACTACTCTGGGAAGACCTGTTTCCGATACACAAAGACTCGTCACTGCCACCGATAAAGAGCTCAGAATACTCCAACAGAGCTATCACACGATTACAGCAGGAATCTACTTGACGAGCATTCAATGACATCCTTGAAGAACATAAAACATATAAATGACAGCAGAACTCATTAGCAAATCGGAGCAGCCTCATGAGGATTACGGCATGAGCAAATCGGAATGCCTTGCGTGGACAACGGATTCACGAAAGCGAATAGAATGGAATCAATGTGCTGGGCTTCGCGCAATATGTGACGTTAGCGCCTGAGGGTGAATAGAAAATAAAATAAGAAGAACCACTGTATCTACTTAATTTAAAATCTTAAGAAGATTCTTCTCCATATCGATATAAGGTTGCATAGAAACGATTGCAATGTTGATTATCAACCAGGTGACAACGGAGGATTACAACAAGCTGTCATGTTCTACGAGTGGCGAGGAGGGAATAAGGCAAGCACGACACCCATCAACGTCAGCGGTTCGTTCGGTGACATCATCGTATCCCGCTGGACTGCCATTCATCGGCAAAAAAGAAAATTTATGAGCTTCTCGAACATAAAACTCTACCACCATACGATGAAATGAACTCGAAAATTGTTGGATAACACCCCACTGATTTCAGATTAGTGATATTTACCAAGATTTGGGCTGAGATTCACGTATTTGAATTCGAAGCAATTATCCTCCTAACAGAGCTGGCAACTCTTGATAAAAGGACGTCTTTACTACCCTTACATATAGCATTGGAGCAATAGTACTAGTGTATTCTCTGTTTCAGACGTTCAGTGGGTGCTATCCCTTCTAGAAGCCATAACACTAGAAAATTAGTGTCAAATCCCTCCACTACTCAATGCGTAACTTTTACCATTTAGCACTTAATTTATTACCATTCAAGCAATGGCTACGACGATTACAAATACAAGTAGTATCTGCTAAACGAGAAATGAATAAATACTCTAATCTACTGAATTCCTTCGAAAATTAACTACTGAATAATTCTAGATGTAGTAAGGCTGCTGAAATGTTTCCCAAAAGAAGACGAAGATATAAACAGAAACTTTAGCTGGATAAAACTTATCACCATCCTCTTGTTCGCTTAATAAGCCCAGAAACTATTCTTATTTACACCCAGGCTAAGCAAAAGTCGGTTTTAGAGATATATTTCTCAAAATTCCCTCAAGAAAGAAGCGGATTTATTATCGAGAAAAACTGCAGGGTTTATTTTTGGAACACATCGTGATGTCGTCGACTTCAGTGTAGTGATTGATCTTTGCGGGTTGGACTACATCGTCGCTTGTACATCTTCGTGTGGTTGCCTGTCAGTCTACTACCAGAATGCTTAGCATAAGTACGAAAAGAAACGAGAGAATCTTCATGAATCACTGAAAATAGCTCCACATCATCAGCACCAACCACACAGCTTTGTCTAACATTACAAGTTTACTCGCACATGACAAATAAAGAAAGCCTGTTGTAGTCGACGAGAGATAAAAAACAACCAAAAAATACAGCAAATACAAAAAATGATTCGCAAATTGGCAAGCTACTCCTCATCTATTTTATTACACTAACGGCAGTTAATCTCCAAGAAGAAAAAACGAAACCATGGTCTGAATCCTTATTAACATGTCAGTACACTAGAGACAAAAAGCAGTACTAAAATATACAGAACGATACGATGCTTCTTGTCAGTGGAAGCAGCGCAGTGCTTCGTTTTCGTATATACATGACAACCTATTGCTTGGTACAAGCCATTGCTTACATAGGAATGGAAAACTCTGGCTGGGATTTGAACAACACTTGAATGACATTCATCGGAAATCGAACGGAAATGCATGAAGTCCACTGTTTGGATGAGAGACTATGGGAAATCCCAGGGATGTTCGTTATGTGCTCACAGCCTCAGAAGAGTAACTATAAGAAGAACGACTGCGTAGAGAGCGCTGGTTGTAGAGCAACTGAAAATCCACTTCTTTAAACGCTGGACTATTTTTGAAAATCTTTAAATTAACTTTAAAAGCTGAATAACAAATTTTAGAAAAATGGATCTCTCTCTTATAACTTTGTTGTGGAATATAATACTTTAAAAAAAACCAGGCTTTTCTAATTACCTTACCTGTTTGTCACGCAGGTATCGTCTATACTAAGTCTTCCTAGTAGGGAGGAACGCCCAGAGGTCACACGCGATCTGACCCCGTATCTTCTCATTGATTTTTGATGTGGGATAATGCAGTCATCAACCATATGCGACTACAATCAGCCGTTCTCCCTCAGTGGAAGTCACGTAGAAAGCGGTGATTTTTCGAGAAGCTGTTGATTATGCAATTGCCAAACGTTTGGCCTGGGAAGTTGCATATCATTATACCCTTCTAGGCTCTGGAGAAGGTGATTATGCCGAACTGTCAGTTTTGTGTTTTTGTATGGAAGTAAATGCATGTTGTATAACAACCTCGCGATTGCTGAACAAGAATACGACGCATTTGAACTAAGCCTTGCTTTCACTTCATACTTTCATACTTTTAGGAAAGTGAACTACTTTACACTCGTTATCTAAACGCTCAAATCTATTCTTGCTCGGCTATAACTCTATTAGCCCTCTATTGAAAATTACATGCAGTTCAACTCCAGTGAGGAGATTTTTGCGGTTCAGTGGATTTCTCACGATCGAAAAAAGTCAACTAGAAAGAAAACATTACGCTTTGCTGGCAACTGTTCAACGCAGAACACAAACACATTAAAAAAAACACTTGAAGGTCTGCCAAGCGACACCAAGAAACGTATCCGTCGATGCTATATCAATTCCGCTCATATTCGTTCGCCATAATCGGCTTCACGCTCACAATGTTTTTCAAATCGAGCATGTTGATTGTACTTCGCTTATCACCCGTTATACCCCGGAGGCTCAGTAAAGATCGGCATGGCTTCATAGAATGATGAAGTCAAGCTCATCAAGCACTGACAGTATAATTTGTATAAAGTAATCTGGCCGGCTTCGGATGAAAACAAAAGTCCGAACGATCAAAATCAGATGAAAAATCGTTTCTCGTCCATCTGTAATGTATGGATAAATCTTCAACGCTTAGTTTAGTTAGGAAAACTGGAAAACATTAAGTGCGCTTAGTTGTGCACCAATGAGAATTCTTTTTAAACCACATTCAAAAAACAATAATCGTCAACGTTTTTCCTCTCACCTTGTAAACCTCTACCCCTTGAAAACGTATTGAATGAATCTTTTATTAAAGAAATATTGGGCATGAACTTCCTCCATCATAAGTGCCTACGAACTTATAACTGTCAGTCGTCTCGAAAGACAATTTGGAAACAGCCATTGAATTTTCCTTTAAGTTGGCATAGAGTATGAGAACGACAACAGCGCTGAGGATAACAATTTCCATAGCAGGGCATTACGTGAAATCCGACCATTAGGAGCACAATTGAGGTTCGAAATTTGGCTCATATCTCAGCATCCTTGTCATTGGATTTTATACATGCCAGAATTTGGCCTTTCCAGTCTTCAGTGAATAGAGCTTTATGGATGAAATTCTTACCAGTCAGGCTTCTTTAGTATACAGTATTGTCTGAAAAGGAGCTGTGCTATTTTCCAAGACTCTATAGCTAGAGCTCGATCTTCCACGGAAAGTTTGGCTAGCAGTATTGCTTCAGTGAGGATGGTATTAAAAGGGTAGTATTGTTAATAATTCTTTAAACGCTGAGTATTATCGCATCAGAACGATGCGATTCTATTTATTTGAAAATCTGATCGCGTATTTGATTGACAGTCCAGGTTAATCCTGGTAAGGCAATACTCAACAAAGGATAACCCGCGCAGATGTCTATTAGTCCATTACAGTAACCCCACTGAAGAGGTGAAAAGAATATTTAATGAAGCCATCAAAACAATACAGACAAGGTAGCATAAGTAAATAAAATTGATGAACACATAACAGTTTCGAAACCGATTTTCCTTGAATCTCGCTGTGACTAAACAATATGTATTCTTTCCTTGATGAACTTACACGAGGTTGATAATTATATTTTAAAAAAGTTACTATTACACTACCACCGAACAATCACAGCTATCCGCCATCAGCAGCCTGCATTAAAGGGCATCACCGAGTGAGTATGCCTCATTCGAGGAGATAGTCCGCTGAGAAAGACCTGACTCGACACGAAGGCGAAGCTGCACATTGAGACGAAGAACAAACGTAGAACATGTACTCGGATCAACGTCTCTGATGAAGACGAAGACGTCGAAACTTTAGCCAAAATAAATATAATTATCATCCTCGTTTAAGCTCATCAGGGAAAGAATGTATAACAATTTGTCCTTTACCTTATTAATAGACACTAAATTCAAACATTACAAGTTCCAGTTGCCTACAGTGTAAAGCAAATCGCTACAGTTCCTTAGAACGTATCGTTTCACTTACTACAAGAATTTTCTGAGAGAAAGACCATCTCGATGTTCTTGAATGAAATTCGAGAATGACAATGATCACCACCATTGGACAAATTTCGTCGGCTATAGAAAAACAAAACACGAAGACAAATATTTGTGAGGGGCTAGCAAGGCTTGACAAGCACTCGTTAGCTGAGATGGCGATCCCCATACTCTGATGGTCCACAAACGAAGCGGCATTCAGACGAACACCAAGAACTTCATGTAAACATACAGAATACACAATATACTGCCAATGTGGAACCCGAGAATATTTCAGAAATCGAAATCATCCATGAGGTAAAGATAGCGCTGGGAAAACATCCGAAACTTTTATAAACCCTTTACAGGAAGTTTTTTTCTCGCCTGCACTAGTTGGAGGACGATGAATACATTCTATGAATAACTTACGTGACTTGCCCTCGTTGACATTTCTTCTCGCAGACTTCGCCGCCATAACCTTCCTTGCAGATGCACCTACAAAAATCACCAGGATGTTGAAGAGTGAATTTGTTTCAAAAACACAAAAATACTCAGTGAGAAAAGGCAAATAAATTCTTTAGAAAATGAGGTATTACAACCACAACAATGCTGAGATATTCGTAAAATTTGGACCCTAGGCCAGATCAGACCGCGATTTCCCTTTCTGGAGACTCGCGCATTACACGCTGCGCTACGGAGGCCCTTGATCTGCACTTCACTCAACTAAAATGAGGTATGTTCACGGATATACGGCTATTAGTGTTATAACCATCCTAACCAGAAATCAAATGAAGAAAATATTACAGAAGTCATATTTAGAATGTGAAAGAAGAAAAAGTAAAGAGAGAAAAGACAAAACTACATGAAAAAAAACCTTTAAGAGTAGTTCACTACCACACTCAAGCTAAATATCGTCTTAGGTAGGTCCCTTCGAACGGAATACTTGTCAGTTTTAGCATCACAAACTAAATTTTTATTTCGACGTGAAAAAGTGAACAGGCGATAGTAGAGAGAGTTCATGTCCAAATGAAGGACTACGGTGACCAGATTCCTGATAGGTGCAGACGACTCAGTTGTAATGGATTCGACAGGTCCACAGTTTCTGTACACGTCTGTCTTGATAAAGCAAAAAGTTCAGATGCACACAGACGAAACGAAATGAATTGCCGTAATGAACGAGAAGCATGGTCTTTTCCACGAAGAATTTTTGGCAAGTAATGCAAGTTTGGGTGCGTGTGGCACAGTGGTCGTAGGAGCCCTGCAACACACACATGGCGCCCATGGCTCACCAAGCCCTCCAACCCTCCGGACTCGGCAAATTGATACCGGACTTGTCGGGGAAGATAGCAGCACTGGCTCTATGCATCGGTAGGCTATCGCAAGTCATTTTAAAGGCCAGATATGCATTCAGTAACTTCCAACGATGCTTAATGAAGTCGAATACATGGCGCACTACTCGGGGATTGATCAACGCCGAAAGCTTCTTTATACTTTTCTTAATGGAAGATTTAGGAAGAAAATGTTTGGATTTATGTTGCTGCATATATGGACGTCATCAAAAGACAGATGACATCAAATGAATAGTAAAGATGTTTCTAAAAAAGTGAATAAGTCTACTATTATAGACGAATGTCTTTATAATGACCATTCACTATTCCATAAAAAAATCGAAATAGGCCAAGACTATTCTCATTTTACGCAAACGCTCTAAGCTTTGGCGAATACCAGTCAGTCTCAGAGTATTGGAAGTAGGAAAAAGATGATGTGAAAAACGATTAGTCGTTGAGAAAACAATGTCATACTCACATGAGAAGGACAGAATAGCAAAGAAAGGAAGGGAAAAGAGAATTGAACACAGAAAGTGAAAGAAAATGAGAAAGAGAAAGCGAAAAAGACAGTTACTTCTGAAGAGTGTTGCAAACTTTCACAGTTTTCGTGATAACCGAAACGGAAGAAAAAAAGGCAGCCGCAATACAACTTCATTTCAGCTTTTTCAAGACCGTGTGTATCATCAAATGTTCAAACTGCTTTTCTCCGAGGATGGAATCCTCAGATTTTTAAAATTTTCTTGTCATAAATCAATTGTAAAATTGAATACCCAAATATTTATTGTTTGGAAAACGTCGTTCCGCTTAAGAAAACTAGTTCTTTAAAGGGAGCATTAAAAGATCTAATCGGTTCATGAAGTTGTCTCGCGTATGCAGCTGATGAGACACTCGGACGGAATGCATAGAGGGCCAGCTACTCGGCGGAAATGACAAGATGATAGGCAAGACATGATGGTGGTCACCTGTGGTCTTGGAGATCTCCTTCATTCATGCAGGCGACAATCTTGTCACAGTTTTCACCTTCGAAATACGCACTACACACACAGTGATCCACTTGGTTACGGAAACGCCTATCTTGACCTTAAGCGAAATATTTCAAAACTTTTGGAACGGCGCTAAATTCGTGATCAGATCCAAAAATAATAAAGCACTCAAATAAGAACCACAAAGAAGGATACTATAGGAAGCTTCGAAGTATAAACAATTACTAAAAAACGTACCAAATTTGGTTTTTCTCCAGCAAGCAAGCCTCTCACAGTAGCGACCATCCCAAGGGACCTGTAAGATGACATTTAGGATTTGAATGACTCTAGAGGAAATTGTGTGGATACAGAACTAATGGATGCTTCTTATTGCTAGCAAAACTGCGTTAAACAGACCACAATTATTGCTTATAGTACTTATACCTCATTTGTGTAAATGGTTAGTATTTTCTATCCACAAGGTCACCCTTGAAAACCATGTTGTTTTTAGTTTACAAATGAGTGTTTACACTTTTCACGAATGAATCTACCACTGGTGAAAGACGCATGAAAGGTTTCCGATGTCTGGAGTAGCGAGGCTCAGTCGATGATAACGTGGGTTACACCATCTACACCGCCTACACCGCTTGTTTCTAATTAGTTCCTAGTGCCTTAGGTACTATGAAGACCAGGGCTTTGTTCACAGAGTTTTGAAAGGATAAATCATTTCGGAAGGTTTCATCCCTTCACGTTTATAAGAAAATTTCAGTCCAATTTGACTAGTCGTTTGTTCTTTCGGAAACAAGGCATCTAAGGGAAGGCAGAAAAATAATTGACAAACAGCAGAAATACATCAAGCAACAGATGAAACGCGAGCGGAAAAAAAAAGACAGGTCCCCCACATACCTCACAAATACACTCAATTTCCTTCTTGCCAACAGCGAGAGTGCCACCGTGTTGACAGACATTAGCTGTGCATCTAAACATGTCGTTTAGCCGTAGTGGAATGAACCCCTGAGAGGTTCAGGACCATATTTGAGTTGAAGTAAGTAAAAGTATTACGATTTTTCGCCGCCAGTCATCACTTTTATTATTTTCAATATCGATCACTTCAGAATCTCCAAAATAATTAGGGTGTTCATTAGAAGCCGATGAGCCGATTGAACACGCAGTACTGGCAAATCCTTTATCAAGCACTCCCTGTTGAAATGACGGGTTTCTAAATTTTCATAGGACTACAGTTATGTTAACTTTTTTTATTTACTGCTTATTACAATTTTCATAGCAGAGTATTATCTGTGAGACAACCACAATGATGCTGAGCTATTTGCAAAACTCCGGACCACAGGTGTCTGCGGTGGGGAACCAACGCGATATTGTCCTTTCCGGGGAGTAACGTGTTCACCACCACACCATGCGGGTCCTTCGTTTCGCCTGCCTCTCAGCTATTTCTATCGATCTTTTTGCCACAGCAATCACCCGCCAGCGGGGTTGATCTGGGGAGCGCAAATCGGCATAGAACCCAGTTAAGCTGCGGCTGTAGTTGAAATCACAATGTTATACCTTTTATTTTCTGTTATGTTGTTGGTTATGTTGCGAAATATAACTTCTGTAATGCTGGGTGTCCGCGGTGGGGAACGAAAGCGCTATTGTCCTTTCCGGGGAGTAGCGCGTTCACCACCACACCATGCGAGTCCTTCGTTTCGTCTGTCTCTCAGCTAGTTGTGCTATGTCTCAAAATGATGATTTCTTGTCCAAGTCCACGAACTACATGTCTGCGCATAAAAGAACCCAGAAAAATAATCTCGACATATTGAACAACTGTATTAGTTAGTTGGCAACTTACACCTTTCCGTGAAGAGCATGTCCGTCAGGACAACCCTCGAACTCGTTGCAGATGGGACCCTTCCATTTGGGCTCACAGACGCACTTTCTACCCACCATTCTGGCATGAACTGAAAAGGAGACGATTTTTTTTACGTCACTTGACACTAGACAGTTTAATAGCGTGTCATTACGACGAATCCTGCAATCCCTCGAACGTTTTCCATTCAAATGGTATGTTGTTGATTTGTCAAAACTTTCTGGCATTTAGGGAAAACCCGTGCCAAAGCATTCCTAGGGCTTTGTCCGTCGCATTCCGCTAGTCTATTTTGCTCAGATGATGGTTTACCGCAGCCCAGAAAAGTGAACCATCACTGCACATCGTATTCCAGCGCACAGAACATTCTCAAACCCTAAATCTGACAAGTTTCGGAAGCGCCGAGTAGTGATGACAATGCAGGTTCTCAAATTACAAACTAAAAAATGAAGTTCAAAGAGCATCAACAGTTTAAAAAGGGTGTAAAACTAGTTACTTTCATGTACGTTACGACGATTATTGAATTTCCCTGTAACCATGTAAACTACAGACAAGAGAGCTTGCACGCCGTTCACTAGATCGCCTAAGTCGCAACTTGTACCCCTTTAATAGGTCCTGTATTCGATAGAAAATCTCGCTCAAAAGCATTTTTAGGATTTGAAGTCCTCAGGGATATAATGTTCACTCGGACAAATCTTACAGCTTTTTCCTTCCAATCTCTCAGAACTGACAGGCTTCACGTCTACTTTGACGACATATGTTTGTATTAAAAACAACTTGGATTCTTTCAGAAGCATTGACAGCATAAATCACTGCTTTCCATATGGTCTTTTACTTTCAAAATTTTTGCTTAACAAATGACGATATTTGCTAGTGGAGCTCACTTAGACTGAGGAAGCTTTGCATTGAACGATCAAGTCGACACACTTTACACTATCGACAATCCCAGCAAAACAAAGAAAAAGACAAGTCGAATACAAATGTAAACAAATCCAGCAATTCTTTCAAGTTTCTCCGCTTTCTCTCTATCTTTACCGCTCCGAATAGATCCAGATGAAAAAATTTCCTTTGAGACTTCTCCTAAGCTATCTTTACTAATAAAAAAGGATAAAGCTCTCGATATTGATCAATCTTTGAGGGATGAGCCATGCATTCGACTTCATTAAGCATCGTTTGGAGGTGATTGAATGCATATCTGGCCTTTATAATGGCTCTCGATAGCCTAACGATGTATCGAGCCAGTGCTGCTATGCTTCCAGACAAGTCTGGCACTAGTTTGCCGAGCCCAGAGGGATAGAAGGCTCGGTGGGCTATGGGCGCGGGGATCGATCCCACGTGTTGCAACGCGCACTCGACCACTGCGCTACACGCGCCCTATCTTTATTAATACTTCTAGCAATTTCGCAACAAAGTAATAGTGATGAGTGCTTCTATATGTCACAGTTTTAGGTTTTACATAACCTTAACTACATACTATTAGCATGCTTGTCGTACATCAAGTCTCTTGCACGGTACATGCTGCTGTTTTATCACAAAACAAAAATAAACGTTAACTGTAAAACATGCCGAGGCTGAGTCGATCTCAGACTGAGGAACCAGCTTTCTCCAATCTCAAGGTGAACCCAAGCTTTAAGCTCAGGTGAACTCCGCACATATACACACTTTTCCTCCGCTCTCTTCGAGCTGCAGTAACGATGGGCGACGACAGAATTTGATTTGCCACGGGACAGCAGCCACGTGGACCACTGTTCCAATAATAGTGCCTTCCTACTCTCCACTTCTTTTCATACGTTCCTACTCTCCGTACCATCGAATTTTCGAATTTACGACGAATATGATGACCGAACACCTCTCGAATGTCGAGCACGATCTCCTTCCTTCATCGATACCAATCCCACCCGTTCACAATAATGCCGCATGTTCCACTCAATATTGTACCAGCATTTACCATAGTTAGTGAGAGAAGGCACCCATCTGTTACTAACAAGTTTACTAAAATTTGCCAGCTTTCCGACAAACACCGATAATTTTCCAACAACTGGAGCGTTTGGAAACTTTACGGCGTGAGAGAAGTTTTAGAAGACGATTTGTGCTATTGCTTAACTGCTATATGTAAATTTTCCCCAGTATCGCCTTCATTTTAAAGTTCCATACTTATGACGCCATTCAGAGAGAGCAATATAGTCCAGTGAGAGAAATACAGCATGTTTAAGGGATTATCTACCCCAAAAAAGTAAACAAAAAAGACTTCAGAAGAAAACAGAGGAAAGAAGAGATTTGTTGGCTCCAAAACAGTCTTAGTGACGTCATTCACATTTTCTTCTTGTCAAGATGCAAATGCAATAAACACACATATAAATAAATCTTACGACACAATATTCTCTTGTTCAGTCGTTTGGATTTAAGTGGGGAAGATTTCGAACGAAGACTATGGAACACACTTCGTCGTCGTCCATAGAACCGTCTCAGGGCACTAGGCAGGACACTTTGTCCTCGTCCAGAGAATCTTCTGAGGACAATAGGAAGTCAAGAAAAATTGGGAAAAAATCGATTTATGTCCAAATTCCAAATTGGCTTAAATTGAGATCGATAGCGACAACTCTGTTAGATGTGGTAAAAGCAAAATTTCACTCAAAGCTGCAAGTGCCTATATTCTCCTTTCGACAGTATAAATCGCTGTTGACGACTGGTCGTCGATAACTTAATTATTTACGGATCGGAATACATTCCACAATTAAGTATGACAACCAACCCCAGTCCCTTCATGCCCATTAAAAAATTGATTAGGAAGATGAAGTAAATAAGACGAAAACAGGAAAATAATCGGTATGATCACCTCGTAAATGTTTGCACTTGTACTCCTCGTACTCTAACATTGCCGCTGGATCAGTAAGTTGCCATCTGTCGCATTCTTCCAGACTGCCGTTCATCATACCCAACCCGAAATATGAATCCGAACCACACGAACCAACTGGAATGTCACTGAAACAGCAACGATCTGAGGTTCGCTTAAAAAATGGAATGTTAATAGAGCAGCACTCTACTATTAGAGAAAATTACTGACTGCACTACAACGTATGGTCGACAAGGGACATTTGTTGAAATGCCAATATGTCAACATAAAACGTCCATTGTGATGAGACGTTGTGCTAAGGATGCTTATTCATTGGCCATTGCCATGTGTGTTTGGCGAGTGGGTTATGAAATATTAACTGCATTTTCACTTCACTTAGTTATAACCGATAACGATCGTTGCTTATATATATTTGCGTGCCTGTTGTGTGGGACGACGCCTAATTTCTTGTTGGTTACGGACTCAGTGGCTTTCTAACAACGGATGACTTCTGTCAAATGAAGGACTTGAGTGATTGAGAACGTGACAGAATTATAGAAGATAATTCAACCTATTGCTCTAAGAGTATGTTACATATGCTATTTCTTACTATAAATTATCATGGTCCACCAAACTGCCACAGTGCTCTCAGCATTTGGACTCGTTCCATGGGATAATCGCGACTCAGAGTAGCAACTAAAAGTGAAATCAAATTCGATTACCACTATGCGCGCTATTAAGTGTACAGGGCAGCTTTCCATGGGTCACACACGAGGACTTTGTTGGATAGGCGATCTATTGAGTTCAAAAGGCGTGTTTAAAAAAACTCTGTAAAGCAAAATAAACCACTGGAAAGGAAATGCAGTGCACCAAAAGCAGTTCATCCACTTTGCCTCTCGCCCAAGTATGGCACAGAATGCATTTCGGCTGTTATGAGCTAAATTATCACCGGTGTTCTTTGTCACCTAGTTAGTTACCGAATTACTACGGCGTAAATCTGGGAAGCCTTTGTTTGTCGCTGGTTTGAGGAATTCCCTGTGAGGCCTCACAATGGGCTCCGCATGATCTTGCGACGCCCAAGAGCAACGCATTTGTCGTAGAGTGATATTACCCTTTATGATATTGCTTTTAGTATAAGAGTAATCACGAAGACCTCACCATACTTTGTTGTGAGGTTGTGCATGTATAACGAATAGCTATCGGCTTTGTTCCGTACAGACTTATAACCTGACGGTGATCCCGGACCGTCTTTAACGTAGTTCCCAGCCTCATGCTAAGAAGTTTTTGACCGATTCAACATGCATAATACAATCCCTATGCGATTCACGACGAATTCATTAGTATGAGTACGTAGATATGGAGTAGATCCTCGAGGTATTCCGTTTCAGAACAGAAAGAAAGCTCACATCTTGAATCTACCACATCAACACAAGTGTACAGTGGTCCTTAGTTGGCGTTTAATTGTCGATCTGCCTGTTATCTTGGGAAACTCTGTGTAGGTGAATGTCTTCAGACCCATACCACTCGAAGTATTTGTAGTTTTTCTCATGTCTGAGCTTACGTTAAGAACAAGAAACAAGATAGTGAACATTCTGGAACAAGACAACGAAGATTTTAAGTGACATTAGTTAACAACTGTTGATGACGTATGGTGACGAATAGAGCGTTTCAACCGTCCCAGTAATTCTTTGCGATTTTGGATCTGAATTACGTCTATTGGACTTTTACCTGATCTTCACCAGAAGCGCCCCAGTACTGTCCTTCACTTTCGGCCGCTCCCCCAAGATGCACACCGTAAAAGCGACAATAGAAATAACGAGAGCTCTCATCGAATGGTCTGCAAAAAAGCATTAGATAGTAATAAGTCTTTAAAATAATGGAAACAATGCTGAGAAGGAATCAAGAAAACCAGAAAAAGAAGACAAAGTTTGTTACGAAACAAAACAACGACGTTCGGGAAAGTGTCACGTTTGGCATGAAGATGGAATCTACATTTAACAGCCTTGTCCAGTTTCATCATACTAAGGAATTTCTATGAAGACACAGGTGGTGTCGTACAGCCACTTGAAAGGCTTTGTGTACTTCCTGGTAGTATCAGCACATGTCGCCAATATCGCCAAGGATTTCCCTTCATAGTTCTTTTCAAATAGAGTCAAAAAGTATTATGCACTTTTTCATGAAAACTGCCCATTTAACAAGAGATTATTTTGAAGATAACGTGCAGCGTAGTGGTTAGAGATGCCCAGCAAAGCACATATAGTCGTTGGTTTGATCTCACATCTTGGCCAGGCGCCACATTCTTCCAAGATCGGAAAATTAGTAGCAATGTTGTCTCGGAGGATAACAACACTAGTTTCATATCTCAGTGGTCCCATAAGTCATTCATTTGGCCAAATATATGAATCCATTCACCTCTATGATGGAATCGAATGCGCCGGGCTACCTCCCAGCGATTCATCTACGTCGATTGTTTTATTCTTCATCGAATACTATTTTGAAAATAAATACGGGAAACCGGCATAGGCATCAAAGTGCTCTGTTATCGGAGAGCGAGGCAAAGTAGGCACTGCAAGTACGAGTCAACAACTCCGTCAAAACGATTACCATGACGAAGTTGGAGCTTCAGGCACAAACGCTTTGACTGGTGCTCGGATGAGATTCGAGCACACTGAAAACGTCGTTAGGGCGGCTGGTGGGAAGGAACGCGAATAAGCTGAAGACGGAAGTCGAAATGAATTTTTGTGAGCGATTCAAGGAAGGAAGTAGCACTGACTGAGAGATAAACGACAATAACAAAAGAGCCGACACCTAACCTTCGTCGTCAAATGTTTATTTAGAAGGAAATAACAACAAGAATATAAGATAATGTCACATTTATAGGCTGCTCCACAACAATTTTTCCTTGGAAACAGACAATTTCAAAACACCTATTCACTTGAACACCGCTAGTCGTCTTCAAGGAGGTGATTAAAATCTCCTTACTACCGCAATTTGCCTTTTTCAAGACTTTATCCTATTTGCATGGTTCGTTTCACTTTAAGATAACCATACCATTCATACAGAATGCTATTCTATTCAACCTTTTAGTCAATAATAATGAATGAATTTCCATATAAATCCTTCAGTAAAAACCCAACTAGGAGAAGGTTAGACGACGACGCCATTCAGAGTCTCAGGGGTCGTGAAGAGAGAAATGTCAATCAAGGGAATGACGTTGAACTAAGAAGAAGCACATCCTTAAAAGCAGAAACATAATGAATCTAAAAGAATAACGACGGTTAGAAGTAATGGATAAATTACAGAAGAATATACAGGAGTGCTAGGAATAAAAATTAAGCAGCTGTAAAATAGTCGTGTTCAAATAGGTTCAAATGAGCCGGACAACCAGTACATAAAGAGGCTAATTTCAGTAAAGCACAGAAAACTCCAGAGATTACAAAACTAATGAGAAATTTCCTAAACAATGGCTTCAATAACGATACAAACGAAACGAGAGCTGAAATTTTAACTTGGTTTTAAGGCAGGAAACAGCTGGGACTGAATGGTGTTAGTGATAATGGTTGAACAACAACTCTACCAAGTGCTTGTATTCGTTGAATTCATCTGCTGTTAGTTCAGTAGTCGTTATGAAATACTGAAATGTATAGGACAGCTTCGCGTCAGAATCGATTTACGCAATTTTGCAACGGAAAAAGTCTTCACGAACAGCGGAACTCGAACTAGAAACTCTAGGTATTTTTTCAGTCGTTTCCATTGTACAGCACCTGAGCTGGGTAATAAAACACCTCTACGTCTTCCAACTGGAAAATCTCGGGAAAAGTTCGACACAGAAATGTAATCGTAAGAAAACTGAGTCTATCCAGACAAATAAGTAAGCTGATTTGTAACTAACATAGTCCTGGAAAATCGTGCATCACACTGTCTCATTAACGAAGCTGAGTACGGGACGGTCGATGGGTCAGCACCGATTTGCCCGTGCTATTTGTTTGCAGCTACTCAGCTGTACAAGCAGAGCAAACATCCGAGCCGACGATGCTTGCTAACCACAGCCGATACGTGTAATGACCATTGAATAGTACTACATCACAAGAAACATCCCTCACATCTTGCCCCGAATTCGGTTTGTCTATGTTCCTTGGTATTCAAAATAACCAAGGAAGATGTTCCACCGAAGGACTGCATCCAAGCCAGCGTTCATGAAAAAAGAACGAGCTGATTTGTCCACGTTGATGTCATCTTTCAAATAAACCATTCTAAACGAAAGGTGCGCTAGGGCAAAGCACCCTAGAATGCATCGATCCTAGAGACATTACCCTTTATCACAGAATTTCCAATTCTTCTTGGACCTTTTTGTTGTACTCAAAGGTACTTTTTATTCACATATTTAGCTTTCGAGAGCAGGATAATGTTTTTGATGCAGTGAATAGAAATGTGTGCTATATGTCATTCATGCTAGAGCTCACATTGTTGAGCTTCTCTTTTCCTTATCTCATTTAGTCATAAGAATCTCCAAAGGTTGACTGGGGAACACAACAAGTGAGTCTATGTTTACCATAGAAGCATAAGCAATATAAAGAGAAGATATTGATAAGAAGAAAGATATTGACTGATCAAGCCGAGGTTAAATGACGATCGGTTTTTACAAAGAATGTGAAGTAAAATTAGAGCCAAACACATAGCATGTGGCTGAGCAACATTAACAGAATGAACAGATAACGATTAGAAATCGACAGTGGCCATTCACACGCACAAGCTCCTCTCACCCATAACAGAAGAACGAGGTCATTCCTCACAGGAAGCAGTTTGCCATGCATGAAATTCTCAACCTGTGCTGAGATTGTGTTTGAGAAAAGTTTGTAAGCGGACGAAAGAACTGTTAGGAACTAAGATATCTAGTTGGCGTTTTCATGAGCGTATAGTACTAGTTCCACATAGTTTATGGTAATGCAATGGGCATAAACCTAAACGAAGAAAAAAAAACGCTTGAAAAAGGGCTATATTTAATCGGAGGTGGGAAAAGCTGTTGGTAGGATTTACCTGCTGGAAGGTTTCTCTGAGAGTAGAGTAGTTAATATGACAAAGAAGCTCATAAAGGAGCTATCTGATGTATTTTTGTGTCAAAAAAGAGTTCAGTGTTTGAATGATGCTTAATGGATTCATTCGCTGCTTGAGAAAAACGATAGTGAAAAATGTTGCACTTGGATGCTAAAGGGGTTTATGAAGATTTACGAAAAGCCAACAGCAACTGTATTCAAAAGCAGCTTAAGATGTCGTTAATTGATCATATAGAAAACTCCAAACTTGGAAAAAAATCGAGTAATCGTGTAACCCTATCCATCAGTTCCAAGAAAACCCTTGAATAACATCAGCGGCCAACACTTGTAAGGATGAGGTAGGTAAGCTCAAGCCCAGATAACTGAGAACTCAAAATTACCAAACAACAACAGCGGCTGTCAAGTGCTAAGGAAAACACTGCAAGTGAATATTGACCATCTGCGTAGTAATCTAAATGGGTACGAAACCACTGAAAAAAAAAGCAAGAAAAAGTTGGAAAAGTTAGAGGAAAGAGTAAGAAAGAGTACAAAAGGGTAAGAAACACCAGATGACTGGTTGAATTCGGTCTGTACATTGGAAAAGAATTAGAACTGGTCGAAGATAAATGTTGTTGATCGTTATAATTTCATTTCATGAAGACATCGAGGACATTTCGATGGTTTCATCTCTCGAGTTCATTTTCTTTCTAACTGAAATGAAAAACTATAGGAAGGATCGAGTTGTTGAAGACAAGGTGACCCATTCATGAACAAGACAAATGAGCTAAAAAGATGAAAGAGCTTATTACACACACAAGCTCATCACACTGGTGGTGCAACAGCAATGAAACTCATGAAATGAGAGGAAGCAAAGAAATGCTGCACTCCCGAGAATCACGCAACGAAGCACTCAGCGGCCGCCGTCGGGGATCTTACTAGTGAGTGCATGGATGCCTGCTCAAGAAGTACTCGTGAACATGGTGGATTCAGAACGTCGAGAAATCTCAATCAACACTGACAACGAGATTTTGTTCGATATTTCAGCTAACATGTAGTTGGCAAACGGTTTTATTCGACTAATGTCTCGTTGGTTTCGCACTCTTCACGGAGAGATTGATTCAAGACGATTGTCCGCTGCTGTTGGTCTTCCCAATGCGGAGTCTTCGTCATCGTTTCGAGTGGTTATTCAGTGCGGTGAAGCACCGCTCGAGTTAAGAAACATCACTCCGCAGCATCCTTTTTGCAGCACAGCTGCTGATTTACAGTCATCCAATGTGATTTGCTGATGTGTTTTCATAGTGGCAATACATCCTGCAAATATCAGGCAATAACTGGCATACAGAGTAGCAGTATTTCTAAAAACCTACTTTCGCTTAACCTTAGCAACCATTTTTTTGGTTTAGAAAAAATGACGACAAGATCCGCCAAGAGTAACACCAAAGGCGAGACGACGGCAACAAAGCTGAAGTCAGTTATGCAAAATAAAGAGAAAACACTTCGTGAATTCGACTGGTCCCACAAACTCTCTTGGTCTTTTACACGAGTAACCTGTCGACCAAAGTGACGACGTTTCCATACGATTAAAGCATTTAGAAACAAAGTTATGGGCAAAGAATCGTTATACGGCCTCTTAGCTTATCAAACCGAAGCTCGGATAGCAAGCGGGTTCTCTTCAAAAGGAACAAACTCTCCAGAAGTGCAGCAGAAATGGGAAATGTTGTTGTTGAAGCAAAACATCTTTTCATGTTGTCCATTCCAGAAGATGTTAAATGACGGACGATGTTAACCTTGTTCTACCCTGTGTACCTATTCCAACTTTATTCTTTCACAATGACAAGTAAAATAAAGCTCTTGGCGGTGATCAATCCTTGAGGGATGCGCCATGCATTCGACTTCATTAAGCATCATTTGGAGGTGATTGAATGCATATCTAATCTTTACAATGAATCGCTGTGGCCTACCGATGTATTGAGCCAGTGCTGCTATCCTCCCAGACAAGTCTGGCACCAATTTGACAATCCCGGAGAGATTGAGAGCTTGGTAGGCCATGGGTGGCCATGGGCGCGGAGATCGATTCCACGTGTATGTTGCAAGCCGCCTCCGACCACTGCGCCACACGCGCCTTGCCTTCACAATGATAGGTCAATAATCTCATTATAGGATCGGTTTTATTTTTGCTTTCGCGAATTCGGAATAAGTAGTGATATTGTCGTTCGAGGACGTCAGACCCTGTTACTATGCGCCAAGTAAACGAGTTTTTGAAAGCTTTTTCTTTGGCATCAAACTCGTGAAGAAATGCAAATATCATCAGTTTACGCTGGCTGAACAATTTGAAAACGTTTGCAGAACACTTGCAAAAAACCTCTAGTAAATCTAAAGAACAAAGTTAATGAATAAAAATACAGAAAGTCAGTAACATGCGGACAGGAATCTGGAGAGGCGGAAGCACAGAATGTTGGGAGTTTTTCTTTGTCGGCTCAGTCACGATAAAATCGTTTGTACGATGGAGAACAACCGCCGACGGTGATGAGGTGGTTAGCCAAAGAAACCGTAGTCCTAAGCTCGAAGAAACCAGTCTGTGAACAAGAAATCCTGCGTGGGAGTGATGAAAAGGAGCGGGATATTACCAGTTTTTGACGAAAACGGTGAACCAATTTACTTCAACGTTTACCAAAGCCGATCGAAAAAAACTCGTATACCGAGGAAAAAAAAGAATACGATTATCGATTTCCTCTAAAAGTTAAATAGCTGAAGTTAAATAAAGTACATATCTTACAACTACGAAAAATACTCGTCGAACTTTCAACTACACATGGAGAGCTCCGACGAATTCCCATCTATGTGGATAATTTTTTTATTTTGTCTTTTATTTATTATTTTATTTATCATTTTGTTGTTTACATTCATTTTATTCATTAATATTATATTATATTATATTAATTATTTATTACTATAGAATAAAGAATGAAAGGAATGCGAAAAAATAGAATTAAAAAAAGAAAACAATTTACATTTATTTCATTTATTATTATCACATTGTTATTATATTCCAATATTATTTATTACTGTATTATATTTATTTTATTTTTGTCTTTCATTTGCTTTTATTTTTTCATACTTTTTACTTACTTGCTTTTCGCGGACGTTTAAATGGAGCTAAGGAACTAAAGAATTTCTGCATTGCTTAAATCTATCCAGAATGTCCGACGACAGCCTTCGTCCAATCCCAAGCGAATAAAATATTTAGTGAAATCGGCAAAGAATACGGTAGAATGAAAAGGCGATGTGTTCTCAACAAGGCTAAACCGCCCATTCAATCATAGTAGGAATGGAATCAACGAGGAGTAGGTTTTTCAATAGAACCGACTTATTACGTTGACCACTTCAACTATTAAGACCTTCTGATCATTTTGCGATTGATTTACTCTTAAGAAATTCCATTTATCAAGAAGAAAAGAAGAAAACAGCAAAGAAAAAGAGAAGGAAAGACAAGTTTGCACGCCTATTGACCCGTTGGAGCCAACGATGACCAAATAAACGGTAGGGAGACGAAAGACGTCATCGAATAAGAAGAAGGTGACCATGATGATAATGACTTTTTCTAAGCATTTTCTCATTACAGTGAATCTCAGCTGGTGAGCGGCCCATTCAAGCAAGAAGTGGATTGGAATTTAGGTACTCAACAACAACAAGTAAACATTATGAAATGATAACTATCACAGGTATGCCGGTTTCCGCGTTCATTTCTCAGTGGAACAGGAGAAAAACGGAACATGATTGTGACTCACTGAAAATAGCAACAAAATGTATTAAACTAATCGGACTTGGTGAGGAACCTGATGAGATACGGTAACCACATCCGATCGAACTGAGGAGGAACAGCATATGGACGAGAGAAATATGAGCGATGAAAGACTTTTCTTTTTCGTTCTCATTTAGTGGTCAAAGTCGAAAACAGCTTCGAAAATGGAAAACGATAGACATGGGAAACAGGAAAAGGTGGAGAAGCTTTTCTATAGTTAGTTAACGTGAAAGTAATTACTACGTAAGGCCGTCGCCTCAGTATAATTCTCGTTTGTGAGCACATTAGTAGTGTAATAACTACATCTTGAGCAGATCAACTACAACTTGCGTTGATTGGATGCATGGCGACACGTGATGAAGTCGTTCGATAAGCTCCCTCAGTAATAGAGGGCGTTGGATTGTATGGGTTTCAATGAGAAACAGCTATGACGTCGACGCTGAAAAAAAGAGAATTCATCGTCACCATTTCTTATTTGTCGTACGGAATGTCGCCTACGTAATTCTGAGGTGCTCTCGGACCCATAGAGTGCAGAGATCAATAAATGCATGGAAACCGATTCCAAACGGACTGCTGGTGGTGAAATTTCAAAGCCTGCAGTGTTGTCGCCGGCTCGGCCAGTGATCGATAACAGAATGCCAGCCAGGCTTGCTTCTTCGTCGGAAGAGGCACGGGTAAGGGAAAGTGATGTTGTCGAAATTCTGAACTATTGTCGTGGGCCGAGTTAGAGGAGTGAGGGCAGAGCATAGCGGCCTTAGAAGGTCCCAGAAGGTTCCACGCCATTTCGCGCCGCCTCCGCGTGAATCCTTTGCAATTACCACCACGTCACCACATGGGTGTGAGAATGTTCACAGCAGCTTTAAACGCTGCCCTTTTTTATGGTATCGGAAGCCATGTTAATTCACTGATATGTTGCCTTAGTTTTCTGGCACAATTACAGCCTCTAATCAATTCGTTTCCTTCTAAAAACGTCAACAACGGAGCTTTAGTATCGATTCGCACACAGAAGAGGGAAATTTTAGCGCACATTATCAGATTCATGTAGTGGGTGGGCACGCGAAGTCTATCAACGATACACATAGCAAATTCGGAAGTATCCTGTCATTACCACAAAGTAAAGAGCAAAGTGAAGGGCGAATTTACCCATGGTTCAAACCAGGACAAAAAACAGGTCCATTTGTGGTTATGAACATTCTGCTTCCTCACACAGAGGAAAGTTTAAGCTCTCAGCGTCGATTCCACATGTTGAGTTCAGTGAGTGTTTAATGAGACGGCAAATAGTTGAAAAGCTTTCTGTTCTATCATGGATTCCCAACCACAGCTACTTTTCAATATCTCTGACACTACTAATTGTAAGGTCATATGAATTCATACATCTACTGGTACCAACTGGGTGTGAGTCGAAAAGCGACGACAGTTTTGGCACTGGCCACGAAACCAACTAGTTGACGACCAAACTAGATTCACAAGGCGGTTATCTCAACAAATCAACAACATCCAGTTTTGATACGAAACAATTACAAATGTTTCGCAATCACTGAAAACTTACCTTAGCATACCTGGGATGCATTGACTACAATGCATGTATGCTCGAAGATAATCTGAATCTTCAACATAGCACCTACACACGCTTGATACTAATCCTCTTATTCTACAAAGACAAAATTGTTGCTTGAAGCCCTCAATTCCTTTCTTTTGCGTTGAAGTTCCTATTTAAAATGGAGAAGCTCCTGAACAAACGGCATCTCGCCCAGCTAATGTCCACTACTAATCGCTAATGCTTGCGACTGTCATGATTGTGTCAGAACTCACAAAACTTCGAGTTTCTTTTTTGGTGGTAAAAAATTTTAACTTAAGCAAGTTTAAAATCCTGAGAGTTAGTGTATTTACGCATGAAATCCAGGAAAAAGTCGAAGTTTTGCGTCATAAATGCGAGAAAAAGGCTACTTGGTCAACTTGTCATTTCGGCTGCCGGGTAAATCATGGAAATTTTTGTTACTTTAGTTCATTAAGTACTTCAGGAAAATTATAGACAACCTTGGAGGGACAACTTAAAAATTCTCCCATAGGCTCGTTAAGCTCTCAACTACTCGACTCTAGCTCGAATTATCAAGAAATTACCGGAATATGTCAAAAAACCAGCTCTGCCACGAATTCGTTAGGGACGAAATGATTGAAACATGGGGTTTTTTGCGACACACTGATGGATTGTCTTCATTAGGCCTACCAGTTCCAGTAGACTTTCCATCTTTTTCATTCTCATGCCACTATCGTCTGAAGTGGTTGCGTGGTCTGTTTCGTGCCTGATGACGTCTGCCAGCATCATTCCGTGATCCATAAGAAATCGCTTCCAGCTGTGAATACAGCTGCTTGACGAGATTCGAACAGGTCCACTCTTCCTATCGCGATCGCTTTCTAGGACTCAAAGGCATTCTCCTGCAGTGCCGTACTACTCGCCCGACCGTTATCAACTGTTTTCACTAACTGGCCGGGCTTCGATCTCAATAATTAAGAAGACACAACGAAATTCTGAGCAAAAATTTGTGTTTGCTCGTTAGAAACAGCTTCATTAAAATGGCTTTCCGAAATTGTTCTTCAAAAATACTAGCGCTCGCCGAATTTTCTCCGTTTGATGTTCTGTTGATAATACGAGATGTGAGAACGTTCAGGAAGACGCAATCCATAGCGGTAATTCCGGAGTGAGGTCAGGAAGAAGATCAATAGGATGCTGCTGGCCAACACGGGAAACTCTTGGTGAATAGGGTTTTTGACAA